CCAGCAGGTGGTGCCACTGTGACACAGGCTGGTCATTTAGTCTGTCACATGCATTTCCTTAAGCACAATTTATTTTCTTTCATTTCACTCTTCGGGCTATGAGTTGAAAATACCAGTGAATGCCTCTTCCTTGTTCTGTATATTCAGAGAAGGTGACAGGTCGACTCTGTTTTTCTCTCTGCTCTTCATATTCATGTTCTGCCATGTGGTTACAGCCACAGATCACCGCTGAACAGCGCCACAGTTTTTCACAACAGATCTTTAAACATGAGACATTTTGGCAAAACTCTTTAGTGACTCTGAAGTGACAATAGTGTTGGTAAGAGTTAAACCCAAACTGTAACAAGTGAATACATATTTGTTTCAATTTTCGGTCTTAAGCCATCACAATGTGAACCCTGTCATTAAGATGTCACCACAAGTCACCCTTTTCTTGTCTAATAATAAAGAGAAACTGGAGACGTAATGCTCAGAGAAGTCATGATGGTGGTTTACAGTCGTTTATATTTACAGAGAGTATCACCCTTTCTTCCTCTTTCACACTCTGCAACTTCAGCCTAATCACATTTGTCTAGCTGAATGGACTTAACTGTTAGAAGACTACAAATTTGACTATTTTTGGTGTTTTTCAGTGTGTCTCAACCGCAATATAAAACCTCAGATCACAATCGAGTAGCTTATAATGATGGATGGTCTTCAGTCTCATGTTTCCTGAATTGTGAGTTCAACATAATTGAATCATCCATTTCATAATTTATTATAAAGGGAAAAAAAGACTAAATTTGTGATAAATTAAAAGGGGAAATGTTCACATCATGATAAAATAAGAAACAATATTTAATCTATAACAAACACACATTAGAGAAATGTGGCTATAGCTGTCTTATGTCCTATGAATTAAATAAACACTTGTTTTAAATTAGAACAAATTATTGAAGAACATATCTTATGAGTTAAAAATGGGTAAGGATCATATTAACCTTATGGGATAATTGCATATTTTTTAGCTGAGAAAATAAAAGTTAATCATCATGAAATAACCAAATATATAATGACCTTTCTTATATGCATATATATAAAAGCAAAGTGGAATTTAATAACTTCATCTGGTTTGTGGAGAAACACTATTTTTTGTGGTTAACATATTTTATGGGTGGAATAATTATAAAACAACAGAGAGGCCACAGTTTGCTTAAGTGCTTTCAAGGCACACTGACTGTAAAGACAGTAAAGTCATGCAATTTACACTATGGTTGCAACCAAATCCTATATTGTTAAATTGTTATATAAAACAAACAAATACAAGGTGACACCTTGTTGTCAGTGTTTTTTTTATGTAATTACTTCTACATTTCATTATAGGAAAGTACTGGGAGCCCACTTACATTTTTTGGGAGATCACTGTGATTGCTTATTCCATTTTAATTTGCAAACCAATTAGCACACATGTGGGTCATGCATAGTCATGTTGCAAGCCCAGACATGCATTTGGTTCTGTGGTTAAAAATATCTCCGGAAACTCATGTCACTCAGAAAACATGGGAAAAAATCCTTTTCTGTTACACCTACATATTCCAGCATTAAAACCTTTTTTTAAAAATACATTTAGCTTTGCTCTTGTCTTCATTAGTGTACACAATGTAAGCTCTAAGCATCTTCTATAATATCATGATATAAATGATTTTTAAGGATGAAAAACATAGCAAAAGTTCATTGACCATCATACTTGGTCACCATATATAACATATCATAAATGATGGTTGTATTAATAAATCTGCTGCTTTTCTTTTTGTACTTGCAGAGCATCTTCAGAAACTGTATTAAGGTTGGTTGTCTGACAATGATAATGTGTCTTCAGTAAAGGTTTTTAACCTTCTGGAGTCCAGGTTAATTTTGGTTAATTTCTGTGAACTTAGTATGCATTTTCTGTCTTTGTTCAGCCCACATGCATGCTTTCCTTTTTTCAGCACAAACTCAGTATGACTTATTATTTTGTCAGTTTAAGAAAGTATAAACCTAAAATAGAACAAAAATGGCACAGGGGCCTATGGATATGTACAAATTACTTAAAGACTGTAAAATATTATATTGTTTCACTATTTATACACCCACATACAGCAGTAAAATGTAAGAAATACAACTGCAAACTTCCATATAAAGTGATTTCAACTCAACTTGTTTTGTGCCTTTTTCATTTATATATGCCAATAAATAACTGGAAATACCAATAATTCACAGCACTTTCAGCAGTTCTTCTCAGATTATCTCTACATGGTAGGCTATAAGATATATATAAATAATAAATTATGTTGCAATAAATTCGCCAATGACAGACTACTTGGGAGCTGCCACTTGTGAAGCACTGATGCATTTTAGGAAGGCTCAGTCTGTTTCAGCATGTTCTTTAGCTATTTATACTTGGTTTCCATTTTTCTCCTAAATCAAAAAGTTGAATAATAATAGGAAAAAACTTTTTTCTAATTATATAGAATTGAGGCTTATTTAGCTGCTGAAAAGGCCTCAGCAGCCCCTTAAATTTGCCAAATAAGAAGTAGTGCTGATGAGGTGAGAAGCAGAGAATGCCTAAAACAAACTGTAGAGAGGCTCCAGCAAAACAGCCAGGGGCTTAAGATATATTAAATTACCATGATTGGGACTTAAGGCATGCTTAAAGCCTGTTTGAGAGGCTGGGGAGCCTCAAAGCAGAGCTATTCATGTCTGGGGAGCTGGGTCAATAGGTTGGGGAAGTTCACAGGACCTGATTCTATTCTTATGCAAACGCAGAGTACAAGACCTAAAGCTCACTGAGTTGGAAGATATAAATGACTGGACAATCATCTGTAGCCCTCCACAGACACAAACCTGGTCTACAGCTGCTTACTCGTCTTTCATTAGGCACAGCAACGACGTCCGAGCTCACCCTGAACGTCTCACTTCCTACTTCCTAGACAGACACGTACGTGATGATGTTGCTGAGAGACACATTTTGACACTTTCACACAAAAGCTCAGATTAACAATAAATTCAGTCCTGCCTCGTGGAAAATGTTGTCTATACTTCAGATTTGAGCTTGAAGCATGTAATGAATGGGATGTCACTATAAGTGTTTATTTACGTATAATAACAGCAGATTATAATAAGAGTGCTTTGTTCTCTGCAGCACAGCCTAAAAAAAAAAATTATTTCTCAGCTTTTGGTGAGTAATGTGACCTCCAGCGACTCCGACCACAATAGGCAACATCTATCTCTATCTGCTGACAAGTAGAAAATCTGAGCCGAATGAATGAATGAATACATACTGAGTGCCGGGAGAGAGAGCACCTGCAGCCAGCAGCTCAGGAGTTCCTCCAGACGACTCTGTCTGACACAGCTCCACATGCATCACTCTTGTTTTCAACATGTGATTATTTAAAATTAAAACAGCTGTAACAGTCAGACTAAAGACAAAAGTAAAAAAAGATAGAAAAATATGTTGACACATTCATGTAATTGATGAACATCTCATTCCAAATCCCTGGGCTTTGATGTGCTGCAACCTTAACTCTCCACTCTCAACATTTTGGATCCTAGCTGCAGAGATTTGCTCCCATTCAGCCACATCAACATCAGTGAGGTCTAACACTGTTGTTGGGTAATAATATCTGATTTGTTAGGTTGTTATGGAGTTAACGTCAGAGCTCTCTTTATGAATTGTGATTAAATGGGATATGTTCTTCCAAAATCCGCTATTTTCTAAAATCACTGTACACTAACTGTACAGTTTTCCTTAATTGGAACTAAAGGCCAGACCAGACAGGAGTGTCATATAATTTTATCCTTAAAGTATTTTTAAACCGTCTGCAAGCAAATAAATGTTCTTTTGTGTTCATAGTAAATCAAGAAACTCTGACAGTGAATATATGTATTAATGTATATTTATAATTTGCAATAAAAAATAAGAAATTAGCATGACCTCTGAGTCCTTTAAAATACCTTGGAGACTCATTTCCTAATGAAACAATTCTTTATTTTTCTGAGAGACTGAAATGAGATAATGTTAAAGTGATTATTAAAATAAACTCCGTGCTACTTGACTTTGTTTGATAAGGATTCAGTGTGTGAGGACGGTGACAAGTCACAAACTCTGGGGGGTCACGGACACATCCGGGGAAGACGCACTTGTCTGTCGGCTTGTGCCGGGTCAAGTTGTGTCCCCTGAGAGTGAAAGGTCGCGACTCCCCCTGTGCTGCAGCGGGCTGTCGCTCTCCGGACATGAGCTCTTCACATTGTGGAAGCCGGTTTACTACATGCATGTGCTGGCGAGTTACTGAACAGTAAAGCAACAGTTGGTTTATAATACCGTCATTTTAGATCATCTCTTTCATTAGAGAGACTGTCTTATTGTGAAGTTAGACTTATGTATGTTTGTATCGTTATTTGTTTATCCATTCGTATTTTTAATTATTCTTAATATTTTTTTTTATTATCATTCCTTAGATGATTTGTCCAGACGTGGGGACTCAAATTGACTCATCTGAACAAATGAGTACGACGCAGTATAAGTTGGCTTTTTGCCCACAATGAAGTTTTTATAATAACACATTTTAAATACACTGTATGCAGAGACGCTGTCTGCTTATTGTCTTGTTAAACCAGCATACAGTTTGGTTTAGTCAGCAATGTATGACTAAAGAGTTTACATTTAATCATCACTGTTCGCTGCTCTTTTACCATTTACTTGCTCGCTGGTTCGTTTCGTTTATTTCTATTATCATTAAATGTGCCATTATAGAGAGAGGCGAATGACTATGAATCTGTCAGTCAAAGTAAAGAAAAAAATGTTTCCTATTGTCTGGTGTTTGTGAAAAATATCTGAGATTTAAAGCCCTACAATGCAACCAATGTGCAACTGTATTACTGATGTGTCTTCAAATGGTTGGAAACGTGCAGGCTGTCTCTGTCCAAGGTGCTGACAGAGACAGAGAGTCCTTTATGAACTGTTTCAACACACAACACACTCATCACATTTCTCCAATATTTATTTTATTGAGTAAAGAGCAAAACGTTTTATTTAGCTTGCTTTGATCATCTCAAATGCCATATGAATATTTTAACAAAGTGTCAAAGAATGAAAGCAGCAACCTTTAAACATTTTGTTTACCCCCCCCCCATCATCAAAATACAAATAAAATCACAAATAAGCAACTACGAAGACAAAAACTCAATGTTACTTTGAGAATATTCAATCAAAGATCACATCAAAACTTATTTTCTATTTATGAACTGTGGTTTAACATGTATTACAAGTCCATTCACACATTTTCATTGACTGCACAGAGACAAAACATCATGCATTGGCCTGTGAATCCATGTGATTAACACACTGATACAATCTCTGAAGATCCCCCATTGCAAGGAAGGTGGCGTCATTATGGTCCATTTCTAAAGTAAAAAAGACAAAAGAAAAAGCATCATAAGAAAACAGCTCTGTCATTTCTTTTTTTCATTTCAAGACATTTCTTTGTATGCAGGTACAGTCAGATAAAATAACTGACTCAGCATAATGTAACTCTTGTGTAATGAAGTTGAAGCGGGAGCTTGATGTGAGATCAGGCTGGGTTCAGTCCTGCAGCCAGGCCGCTGCCAGATTCACCAAATTATATATAAAGAGGTTCCTGGACAATTTAATCCCACTGGGAGACATGGTAAGATCCTTTCTTTGCCAATTTTCACCCTCTCTCTTATTCAAAACTCCTCTTTCTTCCTGCAGCTCCACAATGCAGGATCGTGCTTTCTGTTTTTTTTTCATGTTCTCTCATATCTTTTCTCAGTATGGCTGCCACCCCCCAAACCCCTCAGACAGCATGCAGTTTATGCAAATCATCAGCCTTTCATGCTCAAAGTTGAATGAGACCTCAACAATATCTCTCTCTCTCTCTCTCTCTCTCTCTCTCTCTCTCTCTCTCTCTCTCACACACACACACACACACACACACACACACACACACACACACACACACACACACACACACACACACTTTATATTTCAGTTTTTGTTTCTTAATTTGAAATCTTTTACTTGATTACACAACGCAGATGGGAAGATGGGACGCATAATGAAGTGAGATGTTGCACGGGTCCTGAGAAGAGAGAACGATGAAGAGGTGTGGGAGTGTGTGTGTATGAGGGAGGGAGGTGACTGGAAGTGTAGGTGAAAAGTGGTGGATGAATGCAAGGATGGACACAAAAGTTAGGAGTTGGTTGGGGAGGAATAGAGAGAGGATGTTGAGAGTGTAGTGTGTGTGTGTGTGTCTGTCTGTGTGTCTGTGTGTCTGTGTGTGTGTGTGTGTGTGTGTGTGTGTGTGTGTGTGTGAGAGAGGATGATGAATGTGAAATTCTTGGTGTTCCCAGGGTCTGGGTGGTGTCTGAAAGGCCGGGGGGGCTGTAAGGGGGGTGCCTGTGCCCAGCTGTTGGGGGGAACCTCAGTCTCTCTCTCTCTTTCTGACAGGCTGTCCTTTTCACCAGCACATACCAGGGCCGTGCAGCCCGCTGCCATAACAACGCCACAGCCCCTCTGTCATAGTAACGCCATGCAGTCACTGCAGAGCACGGGGGTGAGAGAGAGGGAGGGAGGGAGGAGTCTGGGAGGAGGAGGACAGAAGTGAATAAGGAGTCGAGACATTTCCACCCCTGTGAACTTGAACTTGACTGACAGCCTGGGTGACTGGCGGGGGAGAATGGAAATCCACTCCTGTGAGATTTTGTTCTGTGATTTAGTTCCCAGAATACTTTTATATGTTATGATACAAATCTGCTGTGTAAATCATAAATTAACAAATGTTTTATTATTATTATGAGTTCATCCTGATTTGTATTTGTATATTTTAGAAGATTACCACATTGACAACTAATAATAAGAATGGTGTAATAATAATAATAATAATAATATAATGACAATAATAATAGGAATTAGAATAATATATGTTTCTTATTATTATATTATCACAAATCTAATACTATGTAGTCCAGTGGCATGTTCTTAATAGACATTATTATTTAGCTGCTGCTCAGTAATAACATGGCTAATATTTTCATTGTTTATCTCCACATACGTGCCTCAGGCTCACTGTGACGTGCCTGTTTGCGCCGGCCTAAAGCCGATGAATAGCGACTGGTCCCCATCAGGGGTCTTAGCTGCTCAGACCCACTCGACCATGGGAAAAAAGGAGCTGTGAAAGGTCCCCTGTCGCTGTTACAAAGCCAAGAACAAGCCATAGCAGGATAATCGCGTGTATCCCCAGATTAAGACAGGATCGCAGCTGCGGTATCCATGTGGGAGGGAAAGGAGGCTGCAGGGACGTAAAACATAAGTCCTGACTTCATGAGGTTCTGGTGCTGAGGTATGAGGCTGTTTGCCTGGGTTATTCAAGTATACTGTAAAATAGTGGCTTTGTTCTGGTGAGATCAAGGTCTCACAACAGAAAAAAAAGAAAATGTCTCTTATAAAGGTTGAGACCTAATTCCTCAGTCTGAGTCTGATCTGTGTGTTGTATTATATTTGAATAAAGTCAGCTGCAGATCACCTAAACCCCCGAAAACACACTAACTGAGCCAACTCTCTCGTAGACACTCAAACACTCACATGTTACTATGAAGATAATGTTCATGTGTCTGAATGTCTTTTGCTGATGCCTTCTAAAGTTTTTAACGTTTTCTAATGTTGATTGTTACAGGTATAAGAAATCAATAACGGATCATTTTCTTAGCTTAGATTAACCACATCAGTGTGTTATAGACTTTCAGACAACATAACTTTGTGTGATACCTTGGATAGAGATTTATAGTATCCAGCACCTTATTTGTAATTCGTTTTATTTTATCTCATTTTACATTATTGTCTCCTCGTGTCCCACGTTTGATAGAATTTGTGTCTTTTGTTTATTTATATTTAGACAAGAGTCGGTTGACCAAACGTTAAGGAACGACTACATCTTTGTAAACAGGAGAATTGTTTTTGGCAGAGAACTGTGCTCTATTGAGCTTCCTCTACTAATATCAATCAAGTAGGACACACATTTGAACACAATGGCCACAGTCTTTTTCATTAACATTAGTTCTGGCATGAGACCACACACTCATACACACTCACTGTGAGAGAGTCACTCACAGACATAAAGAGGCAGAAAGACAAAGGGACAACTTTTCCAGGAGACACTCTTGTGGCTGCAGTGCTAATGCAGGCATCTGCCACTGTCTGGTCTGGCACGACGTTCCCACCTCATTGCCCAGGGTTTACTGCAGCAAAACGCTCACATACACAATGTTGGGAAAAAGAAGTGGCAGATCTTTGTCAAGTGCTCCTTTCACAAAGCAGCCATTGTGGAGCGAAGCCAGGATCAGAATGATAATGTGAGCTACTGTTTACCAACAGGGTCTCATGCAGCTGCAGAGCATAGCACCGACCTGCAGCCTGTGAGAGGGATGCACTGTGTGTGTGCATCACTTTACTTTACATGTGTACAGGTGCAGGTCCATTAACAGTTCGTAATTGTGACTAATCAAATGCTAGTTTGTCTGCAAATAGGATTTTCAGGAATTTCTTGAATTAAAAAATATATATTAAATTAAGCATTATATAGTATTATAGACATTGTTATTTCTCTTATAATTATTTTAACTATCAGACTACAACTATATTTATTAAACACAATATATATATATATATATATATATATATGTATAAATCAATATTTTCAGCAACTTCACGTTTAAATCTCCTCTGGTGGTTTTAAATTACACAAGGACAATCTTAATTAAAATCTACAAATTGACTCCAGTCATCCACACACACAGACAAATGTTTGAATCTAAGAATAAACTGCATTTTCAAACAAGCTAATAAGGGTGATTTACACATGAGCTCTGTGTTGGTAGTCATACAGTATTTCGATGAGCTCATATTATCACCCAGCTTCACACCTGCCCCTCCCCCAGCCGCTGGTCTAATTACAGCCTGGTGTCTAATAAAGGAACAGTCCCTCTTTTATTTTTCAAGCCATGGTGCTGAGTGTCACAACCAATACATGTCTTTGTCGTGATGAGAAAACAAACATTGTTACATAAAACTCAGGTTGTGCGTGGAAGAACAGACCAACAGCATTATAGGTCAGAATGTAAAACACTGAGGAGTTTATTCTGAGAACAGGGATGTGCTTTGACTGTTTTTAATAGTAGATTGCATCAAAAACCGTCACTCTCTGCAACATTTCATTGTTTTAAATTATATAAGGACAAAGAGTTCAAAGCAAGGACACTCACTGAGGTCATGTCCTCTTAGCTTTTGCGATTCTACAATTAAAAATGTACACACGGTGGGTATTTTTAAACTCAATGCATTCAAATATGGCTACCTCTAAACAATGATAAATTAATAAATAATAAAGAGTTCAGTATTTCCCCACAATAATTTAAATCCTGGAATATTGGCTATTTTCCTTTATGTTTATTTTTTTTTATGATATATATATATATACACACACATCATAATACAACTTTTGGTGTCTGGTTACAATGTTCAGGGCAGGGCGGGTGGCATTGGGGGTACTAATACTTAATAAGTATTTCTGAAACCCTGTTTTACAGCCCTGGTTGAAAGACATGGATATTTTTCATGGGCTAAATTAAGGCTAACTAGTGATACATATATATATATATATATATATATATATAAATATATATATATATATATATATATATATATATATATATATATATAAATATTTGAACTTACAGGCAGTAAAAACATTTTGTCCTGTTTTTAATGTAGGCATTTTAAAATAAAGTATGAGTTCAGGTCAGGTCAGCACCGCTATAAAAATATTAAATGTCACATATAATTCGACCATAAATGATGAAAGTAGAAAACTGACAATTTAAATCTGCATACTTGGTGTAGTTGTGCAGACAGGCAGATAACAGCGGGTGGAGGGGCACGCAGGGTGCTGCTGCGCCTTTAAATACTCTCTCTGCTCCCCTCGTTTCTATGCAATTATGTTAATATGCAGAGCTTGTCTGGCTCCTATTCATTATCGGCTGGAGTTGCGTGATTGTTTCCTTTATTTTCCATCTTTGTAAGGCCACTCTTGGTTTTTTGGCAGGCCTGCTTTTATCCCACAGCAATGGTCTGTCGGAGAGACCAACAGAGAGCGCTAAATGTCGGATAAAGACTTTCTGCAAGAAGCGTTTATGTTTGCAGCACATTCTCCTGTGTGAGCTTCATTTTCTCAGTTTCAACACTGCGGATAAAACAGCACAGTACATAAGTAAGTAGCCTACTATATCCAGGCTGTAGCCAGGTTCATTATGTGTCATGATATAGGCCTATAGTCTTCATTTCATTGTATTGGAGTGTCCACCTGACACAATTAAGTCCGCTAATGGACTTCAATTTCACCCTGGTCATGCGTGTAACATCAGTCCAGCTCTGTTCAGAAACATCGCGATAAGAAACACAGAGGAAGCACTTTCAATATATTTGAAGACTTAAAGCAAGAAAGAGTGAATATACAGCAGAATATTCAGGTTGTAAAGGTGAGAAACTTAGATGTTTGAAAAGTGGGTAGACTCAAGGAGGGACAACTACTACATGCTTTTATTCGCTATTATAAATATTTATTAATTAGCCCTTGAGTTACGTTAAATGCTTATTTGAGTATACAGGCCTGCCTCTCTTTGCTCTGACATCTTTACTATAATTCATGTTTATTGATGAATTAATGAAAACGTGCCATCCTGTTTCCACCACTGCTACTCAGCGCTTTGATGGAGATTTTATTGAAAAAAAAATCTTTCTATTGTAATTGTTCATGTGGACTGCAGCTGTGTCTCTTTCTACCCATTACAGCTAAACTCATAAATAATTATTTATACAATAATTAACACGGGCTGATGTTCTGTAAGATATGTACAGAAGATTTATAGAATAAGGCCTGTTATTTTGGCCTTTAATTCTCTGACAAAAAAATAAGAAAAAAGAAAAAGGAAAGAAAGAAGCTCCATATAAAGGCTTCATTTAAGGCCTAATAAGGGTTGTTTATCTTCTATATTTTCAAATAACTATTATTCCAATAATTTCTGTAAATGTAAGTTAACAATAATTTGAATTTATTTTAGAGATTGTATTATTTTTTAAAGGAAACAAAAGCATCTGAAATCATTAGCAATAGTGTTATTTATTTATTTACATGTTTTTAAACTGCCTAGCTTTTCTTTTCCATTAAAATGATTGATTCTCTTTTTTTGTACTTTCACTTGTGGAAACTGAGGCAAGTTTTTAATTTCAGAGATAATTTCTGTCTAATATTTGCTTATCAAAGGTCAAGTGTACTACAAGGTGTTGTTTCTGTAAACTTGACTTAGACTCACAGGACGTTCCACCTTATTATTTCCCCACTTGTGACATTAGTGGGATCTCAGATGTGTCAGGTGTGCAGAGGAATGTTCCAGCAACTTTAATGTAATCAGATATCATGAGATTGTCTACCATCAAATTGCTGATTTATTCATTCACTGTGCAATTACAGTAGCAGTACACTGTCTCATTGATTGACCTTTAAAAGGTCTCAGTAGTGTGACCTCACTAATTAGCTTCATCGAGATCACACCAGAGAGGAAACGCGTTGTAAGACTTAAGACAGGGAGGCTTAAAGACGGACTGATTAAGTTCTGACAGACAGCTAACGATGGAGCAATTAATGCGGCCCTGCTATGTGCCAACACAACCATTTTAGAGGCAGCAGGGAGACTCCGTCAAGATGGCTTCCTTACAGACAACATCATGTTCTGGCAGTGAAGGAGGCTGAGCTCTAACCTGCACAGTCCGACATGTGTCCTTACCCCGGGAAAGGCCTTTCCTTTAGAGGAGAGACTTCACATTGGTGGCCATTAAGATTTAGAAAAATATTCTTCTTTTTCTTTGCATTTTTAATACATGGTGTACAGTTGTTGGTAGTTCCTGTGTCTATGCATTAAATAATGCCTGAAATTACATTACAAAACCCTTTGTCAATCAACATGAAATTATGTCTTTTGTTTGAATACATTTTTTTTTAAAATGCTGCAATAGTAATAAGTATTTAACACCAGCAAAGGCTGTGAGGCTGTCTGTGTTATTTGTATCAGTGCAAACAGTGTGTTTAAAATCAGCCTTGCAGACAATCAGTTATTCATATTAGACTTTTATTGTATTCTTAAGCACCATAAGGGATACAATTATTTAAATAAATGTAGGATTTAATAAATTTTTAAGAATTTTTAAAATGAAAAGCATAATTTATATCTCAATTTGTGATGGGAGTAAAGTAGATACCGCTTATATCTGTGCTTGAGTTTATCAAATAAATAGGAATTAATGTGGTAAATGTGTTTAACAACAGAAACTGTACTCAGGGGAAAAATCCATTTCAAGTACAGTTATACACTAAAATAGTATCAGGTAGATATCAAAAGTCTGTGTGTAAAGGAAGTGTGAGACAGCAACATTCATGTGTGTATGAATAAATTATGCAGCAGGGGCCCCTTTGGTATTTTTTAACTTTCAAATCATTTTCTCGATAAAAAAAGGAAAAAAATCTGATTTATTTATATAATTATTTGTTCCCCAAAACCACAGATGATAAAAACACCTTTTTGAAAAGTTAGTTCTGTCTTTGACACATGAAATCTCATAGAAAGAATTTTACAATGTCAGAAAATATTATTTGTGTCTGGCCTTCTAAGAAGGGTATTTAAACACAGGATGTGTGATAATTGTTGGCATTTGAAGGGCTCAACAAGAGACAACAGAAAAGAAACTTGTGAAAATCAGAGGAATAGGATATTTACTCTCAGCAAGCATAAGGGGGGCATTTTTTAAAGCATATCTAAGTGTGTGCAGGGGTGTTTTAAGAAACTGAAATAAAAACAACTATTTTTGATCCATGTTTGCCTGTTTCATGGTTAATAGGGCTGCAATTAATGATTATTTCCATTATCAATTAATCTAATGGGAAAAATGCTCAGAACAATTTCTTAAAGTCTAAGATAATGTTATCAGTTTGCTTATTTTGTCCAACCAACAGTCCAAAACACAAAGATATTCAATTTACTATCACATAAGATCAAGAAAAGCTCCTCACAGATCAGGAGCTGGAACTGGGAAGAGTTTGGCATTTTTGAATGATCAATCAATTGTGAAAATAGTCCCTGATTGTTTTCAACTAACTCAACTAATTGACTAATTGTTGCAGTTCTAAATGTGACAACAAAACCTTTATTTTCATGTTCAGATGAATAAAACTACTTAATTTTTAGTAACCTACCTGAAAACACGCCATGTCCTCTTGTGTCCGTGTTTTCCTTGTTGTGTAATCTCACAGGGAACTGGGCTCTACAGGGCTTCAGGAAGTTGAGGGTTTGGAGGTCATTCCTACTTTCGGTTATCTAGCTTTATGATGGATGATTAACACTCATACAGCTAGATAACCAAAGACAGGAACGTGCTCCAGTGTTTGCTACAACAGCAAAAGGAAAGCCTGAAGCTTCCTGGGAACAAAGAAAATTATTATGGAGTTAATGCATGCCTGGCTTAATTGGACACTGTAGGGACTCATTCTAATTTTAAAAACTGAAATACCTCAACCTGAATAATTCTTCCAAAACTTTTGCACCACTAACTGAAACCATTTTTTTAAGCTTTCCAATTAAAATACACAATTAAAACATTATTGATTCAGTATAATCTTTCTCACACTCAAAGACAGGCCTAAAGTCTGTGTGTACTAACTGACATTATTTAGTTAAATACAGTAGATATACTAACTATATTAGAAAGTGAGACAAACTGTACCGTATGTGGTTTACCTTTACACTTTAAAGTGCAACTTATAAATGATGAACATGTAGTCTTATAGTGAATATGTGCCTTTTTTTCTGTCTCTAAATTACATCAAACAGACCTTCAAATCTGCTCTGAGAAGGGAATTGGGCTTTAACATTTAAATCATCTCCACATGATATTTTTTCAGCAAAGCCCAACATCCAAAGAGTCTGCTTAACAATTATTAAAGAACTTTAAATATCTTTGGGATGTGAACACTATCAGGGGCCACATAGGCCTGAGTGCTCATGCCTTGTAATTTGTTGCACTATATTTTTCATCTGTTGTTACAGCTATATGTTGCTGCATTACTATTATTATTATTAATAATATAATGTCATTGTGATGCTGTCATTGTGTCCAGTGAATCCCCCCTTCGCCACTCTTATATTAATCTTATAATCAATACGTTAACTCCTAATAACCTCATGATGAACTCACGCTTTTCTTTGTTAGTACGTCTGACGTCAGTTGTTATAATTGGGGAGTAGATGCACTGACAGGGCATGCGTCACTTTCTTTGTATATCGGGGAGAAAACTCTCACACATATTACTACAGTTATCACAGTGTTTTATTAATTGACATATTCAAAAGACAAACAGACTTGAGATCTGTGTCTCCACTGTGTGTTTACTCAGCTTTAGACGAGCAGGACACATTTTATTAATAAAGCTCACACTGTAGAGTGAAGTTGCCTTTATTGATCCACTGTATTTGATGGTTTGTGGAGGGGGGGCTCTGACAGAACAGGCCTGCACACTCAGCTTCATGGACACAATAAACAGCCTAAGTGTCATTGTCTAATAGGTCATACTACATTTACTCCATGTGCGATCTCAATGCTAGAAATATGAACTAGAACAACCCTTTATGACTGAATCTACTGCTTGTGGTTTTACAGATGACCTTTATTTAAAACATGAATGCAGACTGTCTATAACACCCTGTACCTAAAACATGTCTAACATTAGGCCAGTGCGTCTGCAGGCTGAGAATGAGATGCATTCATTACAACACGTCTGTGGATGATATCTGTGGAAACTCGAGGACCCCCCCCCCCAAAAAAAAAAACACTCACTTTCACATCGTGCGAGATGCCTCCTGCGTCCGCGGACACTAAAACATCCAACATGTGGCGATGAGGTGATGAGGACGGTCGGTAGCATCGTTCAGGCTCCAGATGTGCACGCGACTTTTCTGTGCAGCCTCGCTTTGACGAACAGGTGAGCGCGTGGATCCGATCGATAAATATCCCACACTGTTTCTGCCGAGGGCTGTGGAGGAGATATCCTTGTTGGATGGTGTGTTTGTATCCGTGATCAGGATCCTGGTCCGTGCGCTGATGTCCGTCAGACGAGCAGAGATGTGTGTGTGTGTGTGTGTGTGTGTGTGTGTGTGTGTGTGTGTGTGTGTGTGTGTGTGTTGGCCTTTCCACCGCAGTGTGTAAGTGTGTGTGTGTGTGTTTTCCTTTCAGTCCGAGCTCCTGAGGATGTGTTGTGTCCCCTGACGGAGCCTCCGGTTATCTCCTCTCACCTCCTCTCTGCCTTTTTCTCTAAATGCTTCCTCCCCCCGGCTGCGCTGACGTCACGCCGACGGCAAGTTGCCTACAGCCAATCACAAGGCCTCCCCGTGTGTGTAACGTGTTTTTTTGGGGGGGTGCGGTAGTGAGGCACACACACAGGAATTATATTGTTGTCGGTTGAAAATCAATTATTTGTCTTAATTATGTGTCTGCGAGAATTATGAGCTATTCTTAATTAAAATAATTTTATTAATTAGATTTTACTTTACATTATCAATAGCTCAACTGTGCAGCATGTTATAGTGTTGTGGCTCATGCCATTAAATGGTTTGGGTTATTTCCATATAATTCCAGAGATAGTATAACAGTTAATGAATTAACTTTTAATAAAAAGAGGTGATGGGTTGTCTCCCCAATACTTAAAGCTACTACATAGCAATTTAAATTGTCTGACTTTGACGCCCCCCAGTGGTATTAAAAACAGTGACACTGTTAGTGTTTAGTGTATCTCTGCATCCAAACATGTCAAAAAATGCATTTCCTATCACACATCAAAGCAAAGTTGTCCCCTCTTCTTCCATTAGCTCATATACATTTTACAGCACATTACAACTATTGATTGATATGTATTATAGCCCTTTGTCAGAAATGTGGATCAGGTCACCGTTTGCTCATGGTGTTCTCATCCTGGCCTCATGGGGAACAATATAAAGTCATTTAAACTTTGCTCTTGTGGTCAAAAACTCCAGAGGGTTATTTGTTAAGAAAAACTACATCATAGGCCTTGAGAAACAGTCCTGTTATACACTGTCCAGCTCATTATCTCCAAAATAAAGAAGAAGAAGATTCTTAGATCATGAACCTTTTCCTACATCAGGGAAGCTTGGCTGATAATTAAAATTAAATTTAAAACTAATCAAGTGTCTACAGCCTCCCAGTGTTGGTGGGAATAAATGGCAAACTATAGCTCAGAACGAACCAAATTTACATCAGCTTTCGTGAGTAGAAAAGCAATTGTTTAGTTTTCTTTGAGGATGCAGCTGAGCAGGGCGCACGACAGGGGGGGAAAGGGGACTGAGTATATAGGACCTTCATTGTGTGGAGGGCCTACAAAGATACTAGCCATGGATGTGGGGATGGGCCCTAGAGAATATGCAGGGTCCAGAATTTTATGCTAGGCCCTTGCAGAACAGCACAAAGTAGCAGTTAGGACAAAAATCTCCCAATATACACGGTGCCCACCTCCTCTGTGGCCTGTTCAGACTCCTGAAACCAGGCCTGTCCCCTCAGATAAGATGGATCATCTCTGACCCGAATTCATGGCTGCTAATTTTGGCCTAAGATGCTCTGCCAACTGTTTTGGAGCTAGAATGATTTGAAGAACTGATTTTAGATTTATTATTAGACCATTATTAGATTTATCTATTTCAAATTTCATTGGTGTAATTATTTTCACAATCTCTGGTACACATGGAGTTCAATTCAATGAATTTATTGCTCAAATGGATCAAAATCAACAATAACATTTAACATTGGTAATCTGTTTTTTTAAAGGGGCAAATATTTGTTTTTTAGAAAAAATCCAAGTTTCAGTACGGAGACTTTTAGATTTGTCTTCAAACCTAAAAAAGTGTTGCTTTCATAGAGATGAGTGCAGAAATATTCCAGACTCATGTGAGGATATACCGCCCTCTACTGTTCAGATGGTCTCCACACTCCTATATCACACACTCTGTACTGCAATATGGAGAAATGAAAGAAATAAACTCTTTTATTTACTTTACTTTACACATGTTGAGCTCTTATTCATGAAATAAAGAGCCAGGACTCTTTTTGAGAAGACCAGTGGAGAAATAACTTGGATGACAACAGTTGATGCTCCAATTAAGTGAAAATCAAAAAACCTAAGATACAGTATTGTGCAGTATGTATAATCAAACAATTATTATCAACATAAATTATAATTAGAATGTTCAGGTTTGACTGCTTGTTACATCAGGTCAGTATTAACCATCAAGCTAAATGATGGTAGACAAAGTATTGTAAGTTCTTGGTCTATATTGTAAAGTGACACCCTAAACCAAGAAGTTTCTGGAAGTTAGCAGTGGGCTCTAACTTCAGCCCCGTTTTATAATTTTTTCACATTTTAGCATATTGATGTCATTAAAACTATGCCGAATAAGCTATTAGTAATTTTCAATGTGCCCATTTATATACAGACAATGATTACTGGATTACTGAAGAAAACTTAAAAAACTTAAAGATTATCAATTCAATTCTGTTCAGACTACCTGTAGTTATATGTATAGTATGTGTGTATGTATGTATGTATGTATGTATGTATGTATGTGTGTATGTATGTATGTATGTATGTCACACTGAATCTAAAAATGTGAGACAAAAAACAGTTTTAAGCCTTATATTACATCAGGTTCTGTTTTTTTTTTTGGCTTTTAGGTGCATATTTTAGTTTTTTCAAGGTAGTATTATTGATCATCCCCATGGATAAAAAGGTTGCAAGCTTAAAATGCAAGTGTTAGCTATCACTTGAATTTTTATTTCATCCCCTTGTTAATATTTAGGTGCTGATTTAATTTTTGCCCTAAAAGAGGACTCGAGAGTCAGCAGTGGCCAACCCGGAATCTCCCCTGATACTGATCACAGCTGCACTTAAAACCCATAACACGCCTTCACTAATCAGGAATTTCACAGCAGCTTTCATGCCTCATCTACATCAACTGTGATAGAATGGAAATTCACTTTCACTTTTAAAATAATTACAGACTTTACAGCAAAAATAATCTCCCTATTCTTGTGTAACAAGTTGTGGAAGAACTTTTTTTTGAAAAGCCTCGACTTGGAACAGAAATGAAAACACAAACCAGAACAGTGTTGAAGGCAAAAACATTTTAATATAAAATATTGTAGAAGGTAAAAAGACTACATGATTAGAGAGCAAGAGAATATCATTTTGTAATGATGCAAATCATTCACCTCTTATTGACTTTCATGGTTGGTAAGACCACGTTCCTACCAATTACTGTATGAAACAGAAACATAAACTTTATCTTAGTGAAAGTGCTTCATATAAAAATCAGTGGGTGTCCTTGTCCATTAAAAAACTTTATGTACAAAAATTGAAATGCAAAAACTACAGATGGATAATATGACACAATATTTTTAGGAACCACAGAACAAAAATCTATGTGAATGGTATTAAGTAAAACAATACATTGATTTTTAGACAGGATTCTTCCGTACATCAATGATTGCATTGTTTGAAGTCAGTGGTCCGACATTGAGGCTGGAGCGGCGGGACTCTCGGCGAGACTTAACCACAGGCAGGGCAGTCGGCCCGCCCCAGGACCCCAGACCAGTTTGAACTACACGGTTAACAGGAGTATCCCCAGCCGCTTGGAGCCACAACTCCTCCATTGCAGCGGGCTCCTCTGTGGGGAGAGAAGAGCGTCTCCATGTGGATGGAAGAGGGGTGTTCACCAACTCGCGCATTTCCTCCCTGGACCTGGAAGGTTTGTCGGACAGCCCCGTCCCTCGGCCCCCTGGGATGTCCTCAGGACAGCGATTCAGCTTCTCCATGCTGCCGATGCCTGCTGGTTTACCATCAGATGCCCCAACTGAAAGACAACAACTGACTTGAGTGCTACTACGCTTTATTAAATATCAAAAAAAATGTCAAGACAGAGATCAGAGATTTATATATTATATATATATATATATATATATATATATTTCTTATAGAATTTATAATTATACCTATTAAAAAGCTACCCTGTTCGCGACAACAATCAGGCTCTTTGTAATTTATAAAATAATTAGTGGTAATTAGTAGAGTACAGTAGAGACCCAAATTATTTAAAAAATACTGCAAAGTGGATTTGCCTGAGGATATGTGAAAGGATATTTGCACTTATGTTGTTTTATGTGACAAGAAGCAAAGTATGGCTTAATAACATGGATATCTGAAGCACTCTTGCTTCAAGCTGTAAACACAATGATCTTCAGAACCATAAATATTAAAAGCAACAAAAACTTTGACCCAATCATACATTTACCTTTAGCATGCTCTTTTGGCTGGCTGGCTGAACCACAAAGCTCCCTCAGTTTGTTGCTTAGTTCCAGATTTGCCGCCTTGTAGTGGTTCAGCTCCTTGGTGAGGTTATGGATCCATCCCTCAAACTGCCGTTGCCTCCCTGCCAGGCCTTCGTCTATTTGCTCTGGGGGGACGAGGAAACACAAACAAGGGTATGCAAATATTGTAATTTTTTATGGCTGATTATGGAAATAATCAGGTAAAATATATCTTAGGGAAAATGGTTAATAACTTACTTTCTCCATTACCCTCACTTTTATCCAACTTATATTCTACCTGTTAGCCTAAAATATTTCCAGTGTAGTGCAAGCATATAAACATATACAGGCAATCTTTTTCTGGTAAATCTTTTTACTTGTAAAATGTTAATGTGATCTGCACCTCGACACTGCTGCAGTAAGAGCTGCACGCTCCTCTCGTGTTCTTTCTGCTGTTGCGTGAGCCGACGGTCTGTGTCCAGTTGTGTGCGATCAAGAGCGTTCTCTAACCACTGCACCAGCCTCTGCTGATCATCTAACTGCATTTCCAGCTCAGCCAGGGCAAGCTGTAGCTTACGCTCCTCCTCACGCAGAGACACCACCTAAAAGAACAATCCACATCAAGACTCAGTTCCGAATATATATTGGTGAGTTCAGACATAAAGTGGATGAGAACACGGTTTAAAAATGCTGAATCTCAGGTTG